ATCGTGTCTTGGTGGCCACCAGTTTCTCGTCCCTACCTCAAACCACAGAGTAGACACAGCCAAAGGTCACATCTTAGTGGTCACCAAACCCCAGGTCCTATCTTCAACCCACAGAGTCGGACACATGGCCTGGTTGTGCCTTGGTGGCCACCAGTCCTCACCCCAACCCACAGGGTGGACACTTGGCTACCGGTCATGTCCTGGTGGCCACCAACCCCTGGTCCCAGTCCCAACCCACATGGCAACCGCAAGTCATGGTTGGTCATATCCTGGTGGCCGCAGGTCAGATTTCAGTAGCCACCTGCCTCCTGCTCCCACCCACAAAAACAAGCTCATGACTGTGGGCCGTCGGTCCCACCTTGGTGGCCACCACCCCACTGCTGCCACCCCCAGCCCCTGGGGCAACCGTATAGGACACCGGTCCCATCTTGGTGGCCACAGAATGGGTGTTGGTGGCCACGGAATTCCCCTTGGTGCAGGACTGACCTTAAAACTGAAGACGAATTTCCCTCCCTTGTAGAAGCCCTGCAGGAGAGACAGACGTCACCGAGGAGGGGGACATGGGGCGGGGGACACAAGGGACAAGGAGGGGACACAGGGGGATGATGGGGACCACAGGGGGACCCCGAGGGACAAGGAGGGGACCCCAGGAGGAGGATGGGGACATCAGGGGGACCCTGAGGGACAAGGAGGGGACACAGGGGGACCCCAGGGGACAAGGAGGGGACATTGAGAGGATGGGGACATCAGGGAGACGCCAAGGAGGGGACCCCAGGGGGAGGATGGGGACATCAGAGGGACCCCGAGGGACAGGAAGGGGACCCCAGGGGGAGGATGGGACATCAGGGGGACCCCAAGGGACAGGGAGGAGACACCGTGGGGAGGGGGGGGACATCAGGGGGACCCCGAGGGACAAGGAGGGGATGTGGGGGAGGACGGGGACCCCAGGGGGACCCCAAGGGACAAGGAGGAGACCCCAGGAGGAGGATTGGGACATCACGGGGTCGCCAAGGGACAGGGAGGAAACACCGCGGGGAGGGGGGGACCCTGAGGGACAGGGAGGG